GAAAAAGGAAAGCTTGCGGTAAGCGGGAACTGGCAGAGACTGGGAATGGATATCACCCACTATGATGCTCATCATTTCTTAATGCTGACGGACTGCGGCCAGTCGCGTTTTTCAATCTGGAAGCAATTGGCAAGACAGGACTTGGCAGCTGTGATTCACCAGCTGAAACAGTGTTCTTCATGCAGGGCCCACTGCATGAGCTCCTCACAGACAATGACCCAGCTTTCTGCAGCAGGGAATTCAGAGCCTTTGCACGCAAGTGGTGAGTCAATCTGCAGTTCTGTTGCATATATGCCCCAGCTGGGAATGGGATAGCAGAGCAATGCCTCCTCACAGTAAAACGAATTGTAGTCAGGATGCGCTGTTCCATCCAGAAAGCCATCTACTGGTACAATGTCACACCAAAAGACAATACATCACCCCAGACTGCGTCCGCCAACAGGATCCACCAATACAAAATGAGGGTGAAAGGGGTTGATGCCCCGACGATGTCTTCAGATCCCAGACACGGCTCTTACCAGATCGGAGATCGCGTGTGGGTCAAGGTACCAATAAGTCAGTGCACCACCAAGTTTAATAGGGGTCGGGTGATGAAAATGACCAGCCTGCAGTCATTTCTGGTGAATGGAATACCCTGCCACATTAAGGATCTGCGCTCGCACCACAGTTTCAGCGCATCCGAGGAAGATTCCGATGACACATCTGAGAGCGGAGCAGAAAGTTTGCTGCTTGACGAGGAAAGTGCAGAGTGCGTCAATCCACCTGAAGAGGGAGTAGAAGCAGAGCCCCCCTCCAACAATCCACCTGAAGAAGGAGCAAGAGCAGAGCCCCCCCTACCTGGTTTTGTGAGGAAGCAAGAGCAGAGCCCCACCTCCCTGGTTTTGTGAAGAAGCACCCGTCAAAAATGACTGTCGCTGGGCTGCCACCTTTGTGATCAAGAGATCAGGGAGGGGTGTGAAGAAACATGACTTACCTCAGAATTCGAAACGAGCACGAACATGTCTTGCCTGCAAAGTGATGATAAAATGAGAAATATGGCCACTATTGAAGACGCAATTTATGCATGCCTATCTCGTCCAAAATGAGACAATATTTGCACACATTTGGGCATAGCATAAAAAGCAGGGTGCCAGCAGCACAGGGGGATTGAAGTCATTTGGTAGACAGCATGCAATAGATTTGGACAAAGAGGAAGTTGAAGTAGGCACCACACTTTTTGACCCCCCCCCCTCATCACCATTATTTTTTTTTCTACAATGCCTACATGTAACTAAATATCTCATGGACATGGAGCACACAAATTAACACATCTGTGTTTCTAGAGATCTGATAGCCTTTTAATGATCAGTTTTATGGAAGTATAGTCTGATTTCATGACGCTAACTTTTAGTTATGCATTTGCTTGACATATTTTAATAAGATTTTTTTTTAAAAATATAGCATTAGACTATTATATTTTGTGTTTTTTAATATGAAAATAAAATAACATTTTAACTATTATATTTCATGTTTTTTTAATATGAAATATGTTGAAATTATTACTGTTTCTTCTGTCTTCAATGCTCAAAGCAGTGAACAAAAATAAATTCATAGCAATGTTTTTTGGGTATAACATGACTGTAGTATAATATGATCACGTGTTTCTGGAGCTAAAATCAGTGAAGAAGTTACATCCTTGAGTATGATGCAACCTTGAAGTACAGCTATTCCTACCTAATTTTATTTTTTGTATTGTATTATCCATTAATGTCTTAAATATAATTCAACAAAATAGTTAATGTTTCAAGATATAAAAAATAGAAAATAATCAGATGTTTTGCCATTGCCTGTTTCTTTTTCTAATTTCCATTTCCAAACTTATTTTTTTAACTTTCATTTCAACTTAGAGCCAACTTTTGCTAACTAGACATACCTGGTAATACATTTTAAGGTATTGATTAATCTATCATACCTTCTGTTTGATATGACTTTTCTATATTTTTTTATATTAATAAACTGTGGAAATATATATGAAGAGAGAAAACTCTATAAAAAAACAAGAAAATTAAAATATAAACTAATTTTTTCTTAAGAGAAAAATTGAGTCTATATGCTGCCATACAGGAGGACAGATATCACGTAACATTTCAATACTCTTTTCTTAGTTTATAAAGAAATTTTTCTGTCTCTTAATACTATGCTTAGTTTTTGGAATGTATCTTTGGCTATCCCAATACATCTTTGAATCTCATTGTTGCATTTTGTGTCCTCTGTTAGACCATTTTCCAGATATTCAAATTTTTGTACTTGTTTGATTCTGGTATCCCCAATTTGTAATTTGCATTTTGGTCTGTTCCTTTTTGTTGATAACCATGCATTCTGTCTTATCTTTGTGTTATTTGTCAAAACAAGAAAATCAGTAATTTTAAGAAGGTAGTTGTGACTAGTAAATACAAATCTTTTTACCCCTTTTGATTTTTGCTCCCCCTCTCCCTTGCCATTTTCTGACATTGAACTTACGAGACTGATTTATGATCTTTGAAATTGCAACCCGGGATTTTGGATCTGAATCTCACAATTGCTATTTTCCCACAGAACCTCATGTTACAGAATCACAAAGAACTGTACCAAATACAAGGAACCACATCATTTGAGGACATCCAATAGCGATAACAAGTAAAATGGACAGCATATGTAACTAAAGGATAAATTAATGACACAAGATGTTGACGTTCCATGCTATTTCATAGAAAAAAGTTAGGAACAAAGACACCCTCTATCAATACTGGAAAGAGCAATAACGCTAGAGTTGTGAAACCTATTTTTTAAAAAAATTGTTTTAATAGAAAGATTTTTATAAATTTCAATTAACCGTAACAATGGCCAGGGTGTGAAGAAAAGCATAACTGGTTGCTTGGTCAATGAATGCCAAATGTTTCTTTAGAAGGAGACAGCTAATATTACCATTAGAGATGTAGGGAACAGATACTACTCTTTGATCTTCTTTGATAGTGAAGAAAATCATAACTATATTAACACTGGCTGTCTGGTCAATGAATGTCAAATGTTTCCGTACAATGAAACAGCTACTATTAACTGTTAGAGATGAGGAGACAGATACTACACTTCGTATTTACTTGCTGCCCCATGCTGGCAGGATGTGACACAAGATCAGTTCAATGTGGAGAGCATGAGTGCATGGGCCAGCTCTAAAAATAGCCCAGTGCCTTATCGATCCTCCCTCTTTAATGCAATGAGGGAGGTACTACTGCAGGAAACTGTTTCCTGGGACCAGGCACTTTCCAATATTTTTCCAGTTATCCTCTTCTTTCAGAATATTGATTTGTTTTTAATCATTTCACTTCAAGCAAGGCAATAAAGCCACTAAGACACAAGGATGGTTACTGAGTGGTAGAGAATACTAGAAAAAAAACTATTAAGGAGAGGGAACAATAAAAGAACAAGAATTAAGAAGGCAGAACATAACGATTGCCACTGCATTTAAATTTTTGATGATTAAAGTTAAGAAGAAAGCAAATTAAGCAGAGTATTAAGAAACAGAAAAATTTTGTTGGAAACAAAGAAAAGAATACTTAACTGTTATATGATATGTATCTTCCTGTATGACAGCGAATGCTGGAAAATCTCCTCAAAGATGAAGAAAAGACTTGAAGCATCAGAAATGTGGCCCTACAGAAAGATGCTGAGGATACTATCAGCTAAACATGTGCGCAACACAAGGTTTTAGAGAGAATAGAAACAAAAAGGAAACTTATACTTAACAGCAGGAAGAGGCAGTTGAAATTTCTGGGACATGCAATGAGGAAGGGGGGCTTGGAAAACCTGATACTCACAGGACATATTGAGGGAAAGGGTGACAGGAAATCAGCATGTAACATAATTGATGGCCCTGCATAAATGGATGGTAGAGCAGGGTTTGGGAGAAATAAGAAAAAGACAAAACTTATTAAGAGCTACAAGGGACAGGAAGATATGGAGGGCCATGAAAGGACATGTTACATAAAAGCAAGAAGCTGGAAGAGTGTTCCACAATTGAGAAGTGTGAGGAAAAAAACTGTTAGCATAGAACTTAGTTACAATTAGACATTTCAACTGTAAAAGGATGAAACCTATCTGCCAATCTAGTACTCTGCTGAAATTCATAAAAATTTTTTAGAAGGAAATTCATCAGAACAATTACTGTGAAAGTATTTATAGAAAACATACACTTATTTTATTATATTTTTATCTTGTCATGTTTTCATCTTAATTTCATAAAATTCTCAGACAAATATCTCCTGATTATTAAAGTAGTGTTAATTAGGACCAAAGAACTAGCTTCTAGGGAGACAAACTTGCAAACTATCTCCTCGATGCTTTAGATGCTAATTTGGCTGTGGAAGTTGGAAGACCAAAAATTTGATACTAGATAAAAAAAAAATAATTATTTGTTAAAAATTAATCATGGAGGTGCTTCATCTCAGAAGTGAAGCCTTCTTTCAGCATTAAATATTTGGTAAACCAAGTCTGTCCTGTTATTTACCCATAGCTGGGGGGAGAAATGGATTCATACCTTTCCCAAGGGTATTAGCACGTAAGTGAATGTAATGGATTCGGCTGGCATTCGAACTCGGTTCTACAATTCCTCTTTCTCAATTTCCCTTGGATGGTAAATGGTCTACCATGGAAAGAAATGGCAACCTACTGCAGGAAAAAATCTGCTTTGTCAGTCATGTATCAAAATATACATGATCACTTATGCGTGTATCACACATGGCACATAACTGACTGACTTGGAAACAAATCTATTTCTAATACAAATGGATAACTGTCCATTTGCCAAAGAAAGATATTTAATGCTACAAGCATGTATGTCAATTTGTTAAAAGAGTCTAAGTTAAAACAAGCAATGTTCACATTATATTTCTGTTTCAATCAACTTAGTGATTAGCCAAAAAGATTTCTTTAATATAAAAAAGGTTAATTTGTTTAAATATTTAATACAAATCTCTCTCTTTCAGGACAGCAGTTATCACTGGTTGGCATTGAAGAACTTGCTCTGAATACACCATCCCATGTTGGCCAGCCTCAAAAAGTTCCTTCCATTCAAGCTTCAGTCCATCAAGCTCTTCCCAAACAACATGTCACAGATATTGTCATTTCAAAAACCATACAACTTGGTCAATCGCAGAACCTTTCCCCTTCTGTTCCGAATTCCAATCCTCAAAGCATAATTAACTGTCAGTCAAATGATGTTGAAAATGTTCAGTTACATCCTGAACTAACAGAAGAATTTGGTGAAGACACCAATTCGAATAACGGAAATGAAGAAATGAGTCGTTCAGTTATGCTTACTCAAATTGAAGAACTCAATAAACAGCATCAACAAGCCGAAAGGCTTTTGAGAATGCTTTTGCAAAGTGATCAGCAACTGGGTGCTGGAGTCAGTCCTGAATTAGCATCTGAAGAGCTTCAATCAGAGCTTTCACATGAGATTTATATTGAACAACCCAATTTGATGAAACAAGACCATCTGCTTTCTGTTTCAGATACAAATTCCACAGGCATTGGTAAATTTCCACAGGGTCAAGTTTCAAGTCAGCAGTCGCAGGAATTTTCTATTGCAGTATGAAGAAATCATTCTTGTTTAGTTAATGAATTCTGTCAAAAATTCTGGGATGACCAATTATCATAATTTATACTCAAGTTAATATCCTCATCTTTGTTGTTATTGTCATTCTTCATTGGTGTATTTCATTGGGTTCATGACAAATAATTTCTGGGATGAGGAATTGTCATTAATTACATGTAGATTATTGTCCTCACCCTTCTTATTATCACAGCATTTCAATTGTTGTGACATCTGGCTCTCATCAGGTGTTTGTTGATCTAGGTAACCTTAAGGGAATTTCAAACTGAACCCTTTATTTACCCTATAGATTAAATAAAGTGTTCAGTTGGAAATTCCTTGAAGGTTACCTGGAGCAACAATCACCTGATGAAGTCCTTGAGGCTTCACAGCTGAAAAGTTGATATAATAACAACACAATTAGGACAATAGTCTGCATGTAAATAAGGTTTAGATGATGTTATATTATGAAAGGGTGCCTTTTCTTTTTAACCCAAAGAAACTATTTTCTGGGTATTTTTGCTTTTTGATGCTGTGAAAGAAACTAAATTAAAGCATTTTATCCAAATTCAGTTTTTTTTTTCTGTCTTTACTAATTTTCTGATTATGATTGCATGTTGTGATCGTAACTTAACACAAACTCAGTGAATGATTTGTTTTAGTATTTACATAACTTTTTTTCATCCTGTACAAGGCTGAGGAGCCACTTGTGTTAGAGGGTTAAAGAGTAATAGGAATGGCTTATGTAGATATGTATGTAAGACAACGGTTAAATCTAGACTTGAAAAGGTTAAGAGTGTAATGATGGAAGAAGCAGACTCATTGGAGTCAGTTCTATAAGGCAGTGGTTTGTTGAAGAAGTTGCTTGAGTGGAACTTACATCTCACTGGGGGGGGGAATATGGAGAGAATGAGGATGGTTCATTACAATGTGCATGGTATGGAGGGTCCTAGATTGATGATTAAGACTAGTTCATCTGAACACTCCATGGAAATAGCAATAGAGCAGTCAGAGGCTTGCAATGTCTCATCTGTAAGGAAGAGGTTGGAAAGTGGAGACTGGGATGCCCCCTCCTATTTCTGCATATATAAATGCAACACTGCTCCTGGTATGGCACCATATATGGCTGCAACATTGCTTCTCGTATGGCAACATATATATAGCTGCATCACTGCTCCTGGTATGGTATATATAGTTGTAACATTGCTCTTGGTATGGCAGCACATATAGCTGCAACATTCCATTTTCAGTCTGGTCGGGCCCTTGTAAAAATAAAGGATGACAGGAGGTGTCAGGTATTTGCTAGAGTGGTACAGGATACTGAACATTTTCCTAGCATCTTTAGTGATGGAATGTATGTATGTTTTCCACTTGAGGTCTGTGTTGAGTTTAAATCCCAGTAGATGCTCAAGGCAAGGGGCCTCTCTTAGGGACCATTCATTCATCATGATTGGTGAAAGTTCTGGGTTTGATCTGTGATGGTGGAAGGTTACTACTTTGGTTTTTGAGGCATTGGATGTGACCAGAAAAATCAAAAGTCAAATTGTTATGGCCCATGTGATTCATGGTTCATTCCTCATTCCTCACTGTTTAAAAAATTGAGATTTCACTGTTTATAAAAATTCATGTCAGAAAATTTCTGTAAACCAGCAAACTTATTTTATACAGTATTGTTCAAGTTATGTACAACTATAAACAATCCTACAGTGGGCAATCATCAGATATGCTAGTGGCCATATTATCATAGGATATGATTCAGGAAATGGTCTCTCTAGTTTTTTCTTGAGTACCAGATATAAATGCTGGCACAGTTATTGTCTTTAAGCCCCATAACCTAGCGTGTTGTAGATTTGGTATGGTACACTTATTATTTCTTAGATAATTTTCTCTACTACAGCATTATTATTTTGTTCAAGGTTTATTAGAATTATATAAAAAAAAAAGTGGAAAAGTTTCTAGAGTGAAACAATGAACCAAGTATTCTTCCAGCCTCATTTATGATGACACGAATATACGTAGATCCAGTAGATGTTTTCAGCAAGGAGCCTCTTTGAGGTTATGACCACCCATCAACATTGGTATAGGTTTAGGGTCTGCTTGGTAGTGATGAAGTTTTATATATTGAAAACTACCTTTCAAAGTATCGGAAAAAAAAAATTAATTTCCTTTTAACTTTATAGCTAACAAGATCGACATGTATTTAGTAATTTAACATGGACTCTGTGAATGATTTGTTCTAGCATTTATCTTTGTTTAATAAAAATCAAAAGTCAGATTCATCTGATCCAGACAACAGGTGGGCAGCCATCAAATATGACAATGGTCGTATCTTCTTATATGTTTCAGGAATTATGGCCCATCTATTTTTTTACCATGAGACTACAGAAATTGTACTCTTGAGTAGCAAATACAAGTGTAGTGGCATAGTTACTGTCTTCAACCCTCACTCCCAGAATGGTGCTGATTTTGTATAGTATGATTATTATTTTCAAACACAGTTTTTCGATATCTATGTTGCTTTTTCTTTTTTTTGTACTAACAAAATTTAATGAAATCAGCGTTATCCAAAATAATTTACAGTTTGTCAATTTTTAATTTCTTAAATCCATAATGTAGCAAGCATGAAACCGTATTAAATTTATTTTTGATCTTCCAAAAACATGAAATGTGTGAGGTGTCAGTGAATGAAAGATACAATCCGACAAATTATAGACAGTCCAAGGTTGCCAAATTAACTATCTGCTGCTAGATCTGGATGATTTTTCCCCCAGTTAGACTGAAGAATTAACAATACCTGAAACATTGAGATGGGTATGTTTCTCGCTTTCTCCCTCTCACACACAGAGTTGGCAAATAGGGTTTTCTATTTATGGTTAAAACTCTCTTAAAAATATCTGAAATTATAAAAAAATCCAAAAATGTTGACATGTACCTAGTAACTTAACACGGACTCAGTAAACGATTTATTCTAACATTTATTTAACTTTGTTCACTACTAATAAAAGTCAGTTTGTTATGGCCTATGTGATCCATGAGTGGTTACTTAAATCTTGGCTCTCCAAAATTTCCTTTTAGTAATTATGTTCGTCAGAGATTGCAGCAAAAAACAAAGAACTACATATTTTAAGTGCTGTATCCCTTCAGGCATATGTAACCAAATAACAGAACCTTTCGGTCTTTCAATGACCAGATAAATTAACCCACGTTGTGTCTCATTTGTGATGGTTTGCACAAAAACTGGGAAAGACCATCCATAAAGAAATGAAATGTGAAAATAATGCCACGACAGGTGAGAAATGCAAAACACAAATACAGTTCCCCATATGTAGATCATTGTCGACTTAATGATCTATGTGATGGCCGTCTAATTCAAGAGAAAATAATAAAACTGGCAAGTTAGTATTCTTTGCAATATTAAGTGGGAGATGTCATAGAATCTGAAGAACATACAAATGAACAGCTCATTGATTTGGGAGAACGAAGACGAGGAGGAACCAGAAAAGAAATTTACTAATGGATTATCAAAAGGTTTATTCTATTCCTGCTAACAAGCAGTCTAGAATTCCACTCATTTCAAGCTGTGATTGGTATCAAACACCTGCAAACGGAAATCCTCAATGTCCAGTTTGTTGTTACTTGACCCCAAAATTTTCAAATTATTCTTTTATTCCCAATTGGTCAGCCGCATTTAATAAAATTCATAAGAGTGTTAATAAAATTGTGAAGACTGTGGTTTTATCAACCACTGAACAATTTTATTGCTATATAAAACTGTGTGAACTTTGCATCTTGTGTTTTGCCAGAAGTCATATATAGAGAGTTGGGAAAAGAAAGACGTAAATTTATTATCCTGTAAGAAGTGGGGGGTGCCGATTTTCCTACGGGAAAGTGTATAAAACACACGAAATCCGGCTCCAAACAGGACACGCACAGCTGTCATCAAGGTCCGCGCCACTCTCACTTGTGAACTTCACGACCTCATGCTAAAAGCGACAGCGCTGACAAACTTCAGAGACCACTTCAGACTACGGCAACACTGTCCACAGTAAGAAAAACATTCTCTCTTGTATCCTCTTTACTACAAACCATACACGCGCGTGTTGACTTTTTCACACAAACACATATTTCATTATTTCTCACATCCTAAATAAAGACAATTTATATTTTATTTCAGAATTTTAACCCAGACAAAAAGACATTACTTTGCAATCTATGGCCAATTGCTTGTATTCTTGTCGTTATATTAATGTTCATTTGTTGAAACTACGTTGTCTTTTCGACTGAATTTTATTCTTTCAATGAAAATCGTTTGATTATTCTAAACGGTCGAATTACGCGCAAACGTCCAACAATATTTTTTGTTATTGTATCGAATCCTAACACTCCAAATTTTGACATTCCAATTACTTATTCAAATTTCTTCAAACAGACATTTCTTTTAATGTTGAACGCAACTTCAATAACTGCAAATAAATGTATTTTTAAAATATCTCTACTTTCACAAACTCTTCATGAAATTAAATGTAAACAGTAAACACAAGGTTGACCCAA